GCTGGGACAGGGCTCACAGGTGGAGGAGTTGGAGACAAAGAAACCCGGGTTGCATGGCGGACAGGTTTGCTTCTCCCCTGACGCGGGAAGCTTCAGTGCTCCTTCGACAGTCTCACTGCAGATCTTAGGCTCGATCCATTTGTACATGAGCTGAGTCTGAGACACACACCGATACACAAAAAGAAGAGGCAGCAGTGGCAGCGTTACAGCTCAGTCAGATCATTTATATTAAATGAAGCCTAACATTTACACCAGTGGGATTTTTAAAGAAAAACCTCTACTGAGCCAGCAGGAGCTCTACTTCCACGTATCATTACCTTTCCCTCAGAGTCACAGGGGGTGTGGGTGTAGAAGTAGTCACTGCTTGCACATGCAGGTCTCGGTTTGCAGCTCGCTGAACCGACGACTGGAAATGTTTTTGGATGAGGAAAAACGCACAGCACACATTTAAGTCCAGAGAAAAGATTAACTTGACCACTAAGCAGTAACTGCTGCATTTGCATGTGTGTGGAACGTAGCAGTTGTAAGTCTGTAAGAACGCTTTACTCCATGTGGACAGAGATAAGCAAACGGGCATACCTGCGTATTTATCTTGCTCGCATTCATGGCAAGTAGTGGCACCCTTATTGGAGTAGGTATCAGCGGGGCAGGGGGTACAACGTGCAGACCCTGGGTTTGCACTGTGGGTGCCGGGTTTACAGTGGAAACACTCTGATGTGTAGGCCACCCCTGGAGAAAACCAAAAAAAGTTAATCATTAACAGAAACAACGTGTTGGTGGGAAAAGGGAAAAGTTTAGGCCTGCTGCACACTTATCTTACCTGATATCTGAATGTTTCTCAGCAGCACAGGTTTGACAGCACTGCCCTGCAGGGAGTATGCTATAGTTCGCCAGTACAACACGTTGTTGCCCTTATTTAGTTCGACCTGTACAGAGACAGAGTGGGGCATTCATTTATTCAGAAATTCCCCAGGGCTGGCCTTGAGTGCACTGAAGTGCTAAAACTGCTTCCTGGACAAACCGTGTATTTGCTCCAGCTGCTCTCTGAGATCCGCATCCACCGGCTGTTAGAGTCTGTCGACTGACACTGGTCATTCTGAACCTGCAGGAAGACGAGAACATTTCACCAAATACTCACACTGAAAGGTGTCAGCTGAAGCAGCAGTCATTTACAATCCTTACAAAGAACTCAAAGTAGATGCTGGTGTCAGGATAGAAATATTCAAAGGACAGACTTCCAGGCTGTTTCAGGTTCACGGCGTAGGACAGCGTCGCAGTGCATTCATCTGTGTTTGAGGCTATGTAGTCACCCTTTGGTGTCCAGGTTGAGCTGCAAAAACATCACCAAGCAGCAACAGTTTAAAAAGGTTTTGAAGATTGATACAGAGAGCCTCAATCAATCAGATAAATCTTGGGGGGCTTGGTACTGTGAATACTAACTTGGAGCAATCCGTTTGGTCATTCCCCTCATTCGTTATCACGCCGTGAGTGACAAAACCAGTCGGCAAGCTGTCCCACTCGTCAAAGGCCACGCTGGTGCCCAGAGAGTAGGTGCCCGCAGCACATTTCTGACACTGCTGCGACTGCATATCAAGATACTCCCCCTCATTACAAGAGAACGCTTAAAGAAGACAAAGCACATGCTGAGAATGGAGATGTGCACCTGACAGTGGGCGTATCTGTTGTGCAGGTTGAAGACTTGGAGAAAATGTCTGAAATAAAAGTAGGTTACTGCTTACTGCACTGAGTCCCTTTGACTGGATCTGGGAGGCCCGTGCATGTGTCGGCTTTGTTGGGAACTGCAACTCTCCATCTCGACCCGAGGACGTCACACTCTGTGTACTCAAAGTGATAATCTGACTGCAGGGGTGAAACACAGGTGTGAGTTTCACACAGTTGGACATAAAAGCACACAATGGATAACTTGCACAGCCAGAAGTGGGAATAATAACTGTAAATTTAAAAAAAAAATGCAAATGCAAATAAGGATTATTTTGCAGTTTATCTGCCCATTTAGATTCCTCACATGTTCAGCATGTAAATCCCTCACACACAGGAACACTAAACTCATTGTTGCACCCTTGTTTTAAAAAAACAAGAATTCCAGGTTGCCTTATACTTCAGGAATCTTTTCCCCAAACCAGGACAGCCTCTTTTACAAATAAAAGCGGAGGCTAATATTTGCCCAGGAGCCCGTCTCAACTGTTATTTTAATCACGCTTGTCAAGGATACTGCTGCTTCTCTGCAGCCTTAAGGGTTTACTCAGCTGAGGGGAGAGATGCTGATTCGACCGGTCCCTTTGTAAACATTTGATTTAAGTGTTCTTGAAGAACTTTGAAGACAACAAAAGCTCTCAGTCGAATGACAAACACAGTCCCACCCATAATGAGGTAAATTGGGAGGAGACAAAACATTTAAGTTAACCTCACTGAAACAAGGCAGGAACACACAGCAGGCACAGAGCGTAAACTGGAGATTTGGTCACTGGTCAATAAAAGGATGTGATATTCCAAGGAAGGTCATCTGCCACGCCAATCTACACCCACACAGCTTCATGGGATTAATAGTTAACAGAAACACAGCAGCAGCTGCACTCCTCCATCCTTGTGTTTTTGAATTAGAGCTGCAACATTAGCTGTGCTGGGGTATCAAGTGAATGCAGGTCCTGGGTGGGAGGATTTGATGTAAAAATGCATCGAACTGGAGATGTGCTGTTGCTTAATTGCCCTCTTTAAACAAACACAAGGAAACCAGGGCAACGGGACATTATGACCGCTGTGCCACATGGTGAAATAAACTGGGCTGAAAACAAGAGTCACAGAGGGGAAAGGAGCAGCTAGCAGGACTGCTCTCTGAAACGGAAATAAAAGCTTAGAGGTCCATATGGTGCAAAGTGTGCTGATCAAAAGGAGTGGTTTGAGTATTATCTCAAGCTACTCCTGTTATGCAAACTGACCACAGATATGGAGGCTGTAAGAGAGCGAGCAGGCTGTGTAGTATGTGGGACCTCTAGTAAAACAAGTGTAGGAGTACTTTAAACACTTGAGGGGGAAACATATGTTCAATCTCACAAACTGCTCAAACAAACTGCTGTTTGTGCTCATTTTAGTGTTTGCTTTTAGTTTAAAGAGTGATTCAGCATTTCACTTGAACATGTGTTACATCAAACATATGTTTTCTACACCAACCTTTCAACCTTTCATATATTTGAAAGTCTGAAGCACACAGTACACGTACAGCAGCACATGCACCAGCATCTGTCTGCACCCCCAGAACTAGAGTGAATTATAAATACAGCTGGTTTGTCGCAGCACACGCATGAAATAAATCCCTTGGTGATTTAGAAATGATTGAAATCACAAAAATGAATAAATAAATAATATGAATCGCCTCACCTCTTTGCACATGGGCAGATCCGCGGAGGTTTGCAG